TGTTGTCGTCCCTCCGTTACCAGGCAGTGGTATCACCCACAATGTTGTCCTTCCTCCGTTACCAGGCAGTGGTATCACCCACAATGTTGTCCTCCCTCCGTTACCAGGCAGTGGTATAACCCACAATACACACAAAACACATGTCACTGTGGGAATTTAGGGTCGACAAACTAAAATACAAAATTAAGTAACGGGACCTTTTATTTTTGTGCTTTGGGTGTTGTCTTAAAAATGTCAAGTTTAAATTTGTTTCACTGACATATAAATATGTTGCGTATGTCAAAAAAGTCAAGGCCCAGCATTTTAGTTGTATTTTATGGATTTATATACATACCTACCCGCTCATGCAATCACCTTTATTGAACAACCACCTGTGGTAAAAGACCACTTTTAATGTTCCCCATTGTTAGTGATTTCATTGTGAACTGAACCTGTATCAAGAGACCACGTGTCTAAGAGATCATATTTTGGACTTCTCATGAGTTGTGAAATAAAGAATTAACTTATTAGATTATCTTAATGCCAGCATGATGAAGGAGATTTATTTAGAAATCTTTATTTAAATTTTTGGAGAGAAAAAAACAAGTAAAAAATTAGCATAAACACTTTTATTGAATGGAAAACGGTGTCTGTGCATAAATCAACACTGTATATAAAAACTGTATCCAGAAATACACTCTAGCTGATCTGATACTGCCCATTATACATGCTACATTCAAATTCTGAAAATTCATGATGCAAGCGGGCACATATTCAAATTCTGAAATTGAAAATTCATCTTTAGGGATTTGATTGGCATGCATGGCTATAATTATTCCCAGAACCAAAGGCTACACAAGGGCAGAAGACATTTTCATATTTTTTTTTAAATGAATTCACTTATTTTTTACTTGTCTGCTCCGACCATATTTACTGCGATCCTTCCCATTGAATGTTACATCATTCCGTTAAGAGATGATTAAAAAACAGGTCTGTTAGGATCAGGTTTTCTACATGATTATGCAAATGAAATCTTTGTGCATATTTTTTTCGGGATTGTCATCTTCGTTCATTGTCCTACCTCAATAGTTTCCCGCTCACGGGTGGTGTGAGTCATGTCTGTCTGTGTGTCTGCCCCAGGGTATGTGTCTGTCTGTTTGTCCCACCTTCACAGTACAGAGCCCCGAGGAGAGCGAGGAAAGTGAGAACAATCTGCTAGGTTGAGGAGAGTGTGTAGACAGGCAGACTGTTGTTGTGTGCCCTGCTAGGATCCTGCGGTTGTCTACACTTAAGTACTCCTCGGTCACAAGACACATTTATAAGACCGTTCTATAATCTTATGCAAGATCACGTTTAGTGCTTAGCTTTTTTTTCCCCCACTTTATTTGCGTAAGTAGGGTTGCAGAAAATGTTTACTGTAAATTAACAAGTTGTTTGGCTAGTCCTACCTGTCTTGTTAATATATCACACAGGTAAACACTAAAAAGGTAGACAGATAGACATGTGTATAGTGTCAGCCATTTTCTTAACAATCTTTCGAAGTCTTTATTTAAGCAACAAGCAGGATGTTTTCGTGTTTGGCTACAAGATTGACAGGGAAATCTCATGAAGATTTGATTTGCACTTTTTAAGCTGAATGATTGATTATGTTGTGTTGGTGTAGTGGTCGAGGGTCTCCAAGCTAATCGCCACTGCACACAGCTATATTTGCTCAGCAAATCAGAGTTGAAGATTGCCTTTAGGGGAGATAACTTGGAATGGAACTGCTAAAATAATAAATGATAAAGTATATGTGTTTTAAGATAAAAGGCATCTATCTCGATACTTTTAAACAATATCTTTTCATAAAATCAGATACTACTGTTGTTTGTCTAAGTCTAGGCAATCAATGATATCTTTATTACAAAACTTGGTCGAAAGTGAGAACAACATTACCACAGAAGGGGATTAAGTTGTATAATGTGAACATGGATACACAAATTGCTGTAGGGTACCAGGCTGCTTGGTTATGGTCTTTCCCTATTGAGAGAATAAATAGCCGTTGAATTAGTGGCCAAATGTTTCATTTTCAATAATAAAACTTCAATGACTTTTAAAGATTTTTTTTCGTGATCAGAACATTTAAATATATTGACATTCATATAAGGGGCCTAATATTAGCGGCTACTGGTCTGTGACACGGGTGTATTTCCTGTCCATTGTTGGGTGTACTTTAACGCTAGCATGACTATTGTAATTACTGAACTTATAGCACTAGTTATAGGCAGGGTCCACTCAGTCTGCACACATCACAGGTAATTAAATTTCTTCTCTTCCCCACCACCTTCCTACTAAATCCCCTCCCAACTACAGCCCCCTCCCTGAGGAGTGGGGTTGAGGGTCCCTACTAGCTAATTCCTTACTCACTATCCTTCCTTCTCACTTTCTATCACTCCCCTTCTCTTCTCCCCCCTCCCCCTCCGCCTCTATGCTTCCTGCAAACATTTGCTTGTCTCATTAAAATTATGGGGGTGAAGAGTATGTGGATATGAATGTTTGTGCGGAGATTGTAAGCTTAGAAAGGTCTGTGTCTGTAGCACTGTCTTATTCAATCAAGGACTGCTTATATATCCAGTGTTTTACTGCAGAATCTTGACAGATGAAAAGGAAGGCTGGGGGTCGATTTCACTTCTTATCTGATAAATGCTTGCTGGTGAAGAAAGTAGAAATGACAAAAACAGGCTGCTTATTGCCGAAACTATGCCAGTAGGAGGCCAAGTATTAGACATTCTTTGGCCTGCCCCCCTCTCATTTCTAGCCTGGCTATAGCGATATAAGTATGTAAGGGAAAAAACTTTCTACTGTTGGTGGTGACGGTGCCTTCCCCACGGCCATTATATCTACGCTCTTGCCTATAGCCAACACATGCAATGCTTGCGCTGCCATGAAGTAAGTTTAATTGTGGAGTGTTTAAGCATATGCATTTGTCGAGGGATATCATAGTGCTAAGTCGGAGACCATTGGAGGATATATCTCACACCGGTCCCAGAGTCTGCTTCAGAAATGTACTGGAGGTGAATTTTCATTTCATTTTGATTTCTCTCAATATGGTTTGAAAACCAAATTTGATCAGGAATTGCGTGTTTGTTAAGTTCAAATCCTTCCGCAATGATTTAAGGTGAGAGTTTGTGTATGTTTTTTATTATAAAAGCTCATGGATAATTTAATGATCATCTATAGTTAAATTTCATTAATTACATATAATTCCTTTACAATTTTGGACTTTTCAATATTTCTTGTTGGATTACGTTGTGTGGAAATTATCATAAACTACAAATTGATAAGAAGAAGAGAGGACACCTACAGATATACATATTTGTATATGTATGTCTAAGTGCCGTGTATTTCAAATATGCAAGGAAGACAAATCACTCATTTCTCATGGTGAATATAAAGTCCATGATCGTGAAAGGATTACTGTTGGGCTGGAACAAGTACAGGAGATCTGTGTTGTGTCAGACCGTACTTAGGAAATAAGATTCACTTGTTCACACTATGGGGAGAAATTAACCCTGGTTTTCTAATCTTATCACTGGTGCTGATGAGCCCACCCTTCCAGGCACAGTGTTACAGGGAGCCCCGGAAAGGTGCTGATGTTTTTGTAAATGGCTTTGCTGTTTTCCCCACTGGGTACGACTCACACCACTAAAGTCTAGATTGGATTGGGACAGGAATTCCTCCTCTGGCAGATCGTCTGCGAGACACTTCAGTCTTCGCCTAACATTTTATTACGTTAAAAGTCCTGTTCCAAGCTCAATCCCATGAATAAAAAAATCTCAAATAAATGCTAGACATTCTTTGGCCTGTATGGGAGGCGTGACTATTGCTTTGGACAGATACTGGAGCTGGAGAATGGAATGTGTAAAACAGGTCCAGACTTTGACTGTCAATTGATTAGAAGTGTGAATTTTAGTGTATACATATTTTAGTATGTATGTGGGAAAAAGATGGAAAAAGACTATACAAAATTTGTTAAATTGTATAAGTTTGTATGGGAGAGGCATTGACAAAAAAATAAGTCAACTGAATAATGTTTAGATTTAATTTCAGTATCTGAGAGACAATATTGATCAAATATGCGGCGCCATCTGTTTGTATAAATGTTCCGACTAAATCAAATATATGTTGATGAAAAAATAAAGAAATATCAGTACATCTAGATGTAATTTTTGTATCGGAGAGACATCTACAAAAATAGAGAGATCATGTCGGTATATTTATGTGTAACTGGTGTATGAAAGAGAGGTATTGTGAAAAATGAGGAAATACCGAGATATGTATCTGTATCAGACAGACACACACAAAAAACACAAAGAAATATCTGTATGTGTAGATATTCCAGTTTGTATCAAGGAGAAATATGACCGTGCAATATTTAGATGTAATTTCTTCATCAGAGAGGCATATTTACCAAAAAATGGGGAAATATCTGTATATTTAGTTATTTCTGTATCAGAGACGACTTTTAACAATATAGAAGGAAATGTCTGTATATTTAGTTGTTATTTCTGTATCAGACTTTCAATGTTCTTGTTATAGGTTGCATTACTACATTTTTTGAAGTTGAAGTTTAATTTTGTTTGCCCTATAAGTTCACTAAATAATTAAATTACAAAGAAATACTGTCCCAATGCATGGTCCGGTTGTCCTTAAAATGACATACATTTGGAAGGTTTTAATAAAACTGATTTTTTCTAAAATACGAAATCAACTGTTGAATAAAATCTACCTGCTTTATTTGTGAAGAAGGTTTTTATTTTACTGGGAACCAAGTCTTAAATTTAAGGAAAATCAATTTGATTCTGATCAATTAAAAATGGAAAATGATCGATATATTTATCACATTCACTAATATCAAAGGTCTTCAGATTTTCTAAAACTTCTAGAAAAGCATTCATAACATGGATGAAATTTCTTTTGGAAGGTTTTTTTTATTATTCTTGACTGTTTTCTCAAAATGTTGTCTTTTTTTGTCATTGCAGGTTTCCCTTAAACAGTGGGAGATAGAACTACACCTCATAACACCATCTTGCTTCGTTCACGATATTTAACTTCGGAGCCTGCTATATTTCCCATCATTTCTACATTTCCAAGTGTCGACATATTAATTCCATTGATTCTTGGATTTTTTTGAAGATCGTGTTACGTTTCCTGGAATTACTCGCGTCTGAGGAGAGTTGTTTTGTTATCGAATATTTACCCAGAGACTTAGCGTATTTATATACAAATACGCTGGTGTGGGACATTTAATATATAGTTATAATCGTTTATATTTGTATTCATTTAAGATTTAATATTCTTGTTAATTATATTGATGAGAAAGTACAAGAAAAAAATATTTGTGAATTTTTCGTGATCATATTTTTTACGAAATATTTAAAAAAAGACTTTGTAATATTTGTAACAAACAAAATACAACCAACGTCTTTCATATTTACGGAGCGTCTTTTTTTCCGGGAAAATCTCGGAGTTTCTATGTATTAGTTGAGTTTGTTATGGCCATGGTGAACACAATGCTGAATCTGTCATCTGCTGTGAAGGACTCGAGGTGGCTCACTCTAGAAGTCTGCCGGGAATATCAGCGCAACAAATGTTCGCGAACTGAAAATGAGTGCAAGTTCGCACACCCTCCGCCCCACGTCGAAGTCCAAAATGGCCGTGTTACGGCTTGCTTTGATTCTATAAAGGTAGGACAAAATTTTGTTTTTTGTTTCCAGAATCATTTTAGCAGTTGTATTTGTGTTTTTGTATCCAAACTTTTGTTTCATTTTCACCCCCTCCCTTTACTATTTAACATTTCTCTTTTTAGCTGCACACAATATCCTAATATTCAAGGGTAAACATTCTGAGAAACAAATGAGATCCGCTCTAAAACTTAAGAACAATTTTTTCCATCTTTGCCAATAAAAAAAAATGTGTTTATTAACTCCAGCAAGTCTTCCTAGCTGAATACTGCCGTCATCAGCTTGTACTAATTGATTTTAATGAAAAATCTTTTCCAACATCGTCTACTTAACTAAAATGAAAAACAATCATCCTGAAGGTTTAAATTAGATGCCTATGAACACATTTTGAAGCTTCAGTTAAGACGGGAATAGGTTCAAACCTTCAACATGGATTCTTATTCAGGGGGAAAAGAAGAGTTTTCGGTGTTCTCAAGTTAGCCCTACGATATTTACAACATTTAACACCTGTTGTGCTATAAGTAGAAAGCATGAAACCATCGAATTGACTCGTATTTAAAAAGCCACATATTATAGCTAATCTCTCTAATTGATAGTACTTACTTAAAATTGAAAAGATGTTTCCTTAAGATTTCTATCCTATTTGAACAGATTTCCTGTAAATTTTTGGTGTTATACATACTTATACATACAGAAAGTCGAGGCTTAGTCCTAACCTTTCCAGACCACCAAGGCCTAAATAAGCTGTATTATAAATACTTTTTCTAGTGTTAAGCCGCCAACAATATGGTCGGTTAACTGTTTACTTAGCTCTGATAAGACCATATCTAGTTTAGGTGGAGGTTGTCTGTGGTTGGGTAGAACACTATGTAGGTCTGACCCAGGAAGAGAGTTTGTTTTGTGATCTGGTAAATCTGTCCGGCCCACTAGTTATGGTGTTGAGTCTGGTAGGATTACAATCAAGTTCCTACAAACAGTTGCTCCCAGTCAAAAGTAGCAGTTCCCTTGCTATATTGAGTATCATCAGGATCTGTGTCGCATGTCTACCTCCGGCAAGAAAATAAAAAAACTAAGTGCTCAGACTGACGAATATGGATATCTGTTCATGTTAGAAATGTTTACAACTGGTTCTTAACTAAGGACCACACTTAACAGTGATAGCATCGATAATTACGGGCTGTTGCACATCATGATCACTTACAATGGAGAGAGCTATTTTAGGACAGATTACCGACAATTTAAAAAGTAATATGCCAGTGAATTATACAAGTGTACCTCTGAAGAGATATGATGTGAAAATTGGTAGAGATTGAAATGGTGATCTTTTCAGCATCCCAGCCAGTTACATAACAATCAAATTGTAATTACGTGATTACACAATGAAAAATGTTTAGATGAAACAGATTTTTTGCCAGATATTTAACAGTTATCTCCCCTTGAAAAGAATTCTTCAATTTGGCTGGTATTTTGTCTAGGAAGTTATCATAATTAGCCATTAGGTTATGCAAGGTAAACATGTGGTGAAGGGAAAGTCCTATCATCTTATGTTTACCCAGTCCGTATCACCGCTCAGCTTGTATCGAGACAAGTCTTTTAGTAAATCTCTTTCAAGTTTAAAACAACATGACCTGGCAAGTTCGGCATTGGAACACATTTATTGAGTGTTTGTGCTTATGAAGTCTTATCACGAATAGATGGAAGACTGACACATGATACTAGTCAATAAAAGAATATCGGAGATGTATTTATTTCGGTCAGGAGTATATGAAGCTCACAAGTCTCGGCCAACTTAGTTATGTACCATGCCGATCTTACAAGCTAGCACAACTGGTTTTCATTACTTGTATATGTCTGTAGTACTCCATGATAGCTATAACGAAGCCAAGTTATCATTACTTCCGCAAGCTCTAGCAAACCATCAGAAATGCCTGCAAAATTAGTCTCTCACAAGAACATTATGGTCATTATGTGTGTCTATAGTGAAGTGGTGTTTGGGTGTTGGGAGGGAACCATCCACTCCAAATAGAAATTGCATATACTGATTATGCTAATCACCTGGTCGCAATATTGCCAACACTTCGAATCAGCCGAAATTTGAGCTCAAATTTAATCGCCCATAGACTTACCTAGATATAAAACTTCAAACTCAACTTTAGCTGTTCTCTCCCTCAATTTGAGCTCAAATTTAATCGCCCATAGACTTACCTAGATATGTAACTTCAAACTCAACTTTAGCTGTTCTCTCCCTCAATTTGAGCTCAAATATAATCGCCCGTAGACTTACCTAGAAATGTAACTTCAAACTCAACTTTAGCTGTTCTCTCCCTCAATTTGAGCTCAAATATAATCGCCCGTAGACTTACCTAGAAATGTAACTTCAAACTCAACTTTAGCTGTCCTCTCCCTCAATTTGAGTTCAAATTTAATCGCCCGTAGACTTACCTAGAAACAAAACTTCAAACTCAACTTTAGCTGTCCTCTCCCTCAATTTGAGCTCAAATTTAATCTCATATAGACTCTCCTCGGATACATAATCTCAAACTCAGTTTCAGCCTAACTCAAGTGTCTGTAGACTTATAATAGAGACCTATTTTCAAAGTCAACTTTAGCTGTACTCATGTGTTCGTTACATGGGGCAGGCCATTCACACAAATCCTAACAATAGTCTGCAAAATTTAGTTCTTGTTTTCAAAAGTAATTTAATGTTGATCTGTTCAAAGTTTTTACATTCAAAGTTTTAGAAATGAATAATCTTTTCAAAAAGCTTTGAAATATTTGAGATTAAAGCATAAAAGTATACCTGGATGTTTCCACGAATACTTGGCCGCTATAGAATTTGCTATAAAACAAGATAATGGGTGACATGTAAAATTGTTTCCTCAAAGAAACCTATTTGCCGATTGATTACTTAGAAATAGAAATATAGTCCCTATATATAACCTCAAATATATCTCAATTTCTAAAGTGGATCACATTTCAATTAGGTTTATTTCCCTGATATCAACTGTCACATACAAAGCATTGATTTATTTCAAATTACAAATCTTTATTCACGTGTATAACAATACATTTGTGTGTGTGTGTCTTTGTGGATAAGGCCTGTTGAGTCGTACTGTAAGTACTAAATCAGTGCTGCAATACGCCGGATCGTCCGGACAAATTATAATTAGGATTGAGGCGTTGATTGTGACTATTTGCAATTGAATTTAAATTATCATAAAACATAATCAGAAACCCTTTAGACGGCATGAGTAGGTCTGGTGAATGGATCTGTATGACAGTGTGAAGCCGTGGCCTCTGACAGGCTTTGTTCCACGATTGTCAGTCGCGGGTGACAATTGGACAGACACCGGGGAACAACCCTCCGTATACAGATGGCCTTGACCTCTCATTGTGCGTGGATATATCAGTGTTATATCTAATTACTTGATGGATCTTGCACAATTAATTGTCTTTTTTGAATCCGTATGACAGGGTCATTATTCTACAAGAATTTCTCACATAGATTATGTACTTCATATTCATCAAACCCGATATATAAATTTATGTAATTCTTTCTTGGTTCCGAAATGATTTAAATCGTTTGTCTATATGAAAATTATGTAATATTCTTTCTTGATTCCAAAATAATTTAAATCATTTGCCTATATGAAAATTATGGAATTCTTTCTTTGTCTGAACTATATTGATTACCTGCAAGATCTTACAATAAAACCTGGTTGTTATACACGAGCGCTATCTGCGTGTAAGATGTTATATATATATGAATGTGCAATTGTTGATTGATATTAATTATCTAGTTACATTATTTTAATTTCCTGTCAAATAAACAAATTAATGAAATAAAACATGCTGTTCAGCTGTTCAAAGAATATGTATGCAAGCTCCTGCACTTTATGCTGGCATGAAAATTGAAAACTAATGGTTCAGTCCATACATCTAGTAGCTGATTTTGTCCTTTTTTTTACATACATTAGTGTATTTGATATATTATTTACAAAGAATTTTTACCTTGAAAACAATTTGAGAGATTAATTATCGGTGTGATGGAACAAAACCCATCATCACCATCCTCGTACAAAGTTTGACGTACACAAGCTATTCTGATCAATTTAAGATGCACTAGATAGACGATTTTCACTGCAAAAGATTCCTGAAGCAAATAGCTGTCATGGCAATCTTACATTTTAATCAGTCATAACAGTCATGTGACTTGGTGTAGGTTTCTATCAAACCAATGACATTTAAATGAAATGTACAGTAGTCCCCATCACGAATTCTTCTCCGTATATAGTCGATATAAAACAGGAATGATAACCTCAGAGGGACGTTACGGTACTTACAGAAATGTGCGGGGTTCCAAGAAATATGATCAGCTGCTTGTATGAAGTGGGGCAGTTCTGAGAAGATGGGGTGTTCCCAGGGGGGACAGTAACACTTTCAGTAAGGTACTGGGTAGGAATGACAACATCAGTTGTACGTAGCATCTATTGTTTTTGTTACTGGAATTCTGTTTCAAACTAATCTCGTAAAATCTTTGTTCAAAATTATGTATAGTGACATCATTAACAATGGCCTATTGTTTATGACGTCACAATTTCTGCCATTGTTTGTTCAAAATTCATCCAAATATTGTTACCGTGATCTGAAAGATTTAACACTGGACATGGAGGACATGTAGAGTACATACATAGATATATTGTTTTCATAAAAGTTTCGTGGTACATGCTGCGGGAGGCTCAGGTACATCTTGTATTTCTTGTTGAGTTGGTTAAAAAATAGTGTAACTCAGATATAGATAGTTAAGTAAAATATGAAGCTGGTATTTAAAGATCTGTTTCGATAGACATTGACCAGTGCTGATGCTAGAGAGTCTCTGAAGGATTTAGAACCTAACAGCTTGTGCTAGAAAATCCTAGAGAATAACGAAAGGCTAGTGCTAGAATAGAAGCGACAAGAAGGCATTGAAAAGGAAGTACCAGAAGGTTCTAGAGGGTATAGAA